ACCGGCCCCGCACAACACTACTGTGGCCTGGGAGTGCGAATTTGTGCAGGGCCAGTAGGCCCTGGCCCTGTACTCCCGCCCGCGGCACTACCGGGCCAGGGCCTACCGGCCCAGCTACCGCCCCGGCGATCATCTAGAAAACAATGTAGACGCAATCTGGGTCGTGCGGTAGAACGGCGACAGCGGCTAAGATTAGAGTTGATGACATTGAAAACGATCACCAGCCAATCTGGACCATCGGGCGCCGAGGAAATGAAGGCCCCAGATTGGCTGCTGATCACACGCTGTGAAATAGCGATTGTGATACATGTAGTGATTACAGAGTTGAGAGCAACCCTTGGGGGCTGTCATAACCTGCAGGCAAACCTTAAACCACCAGTACTTGGCCCAGCTATCGGCCGTGGAAAGAAATAGAGTACAAACGTTTCTAGTCAGATGAATTTGGGCACTCCAGTAGTGGCCCGTACGTTTCCTAAAATTGTGGGCTGTTAACGGGCACAACTTTAGGAAGTACTGGTGTCGATTCCACACAAATGGCTAGAATTCTTAGGAGGGGAACACAATGGCAACAGGGCAACTGGGCAACCTGGCAGGAAGACAAGCCCCAACTACAGCCGTGCCATACATTACTAACGACGGCACGGCCGGAGCTTGGTTCCGGATGGTGATTCACAATGTAAACGTGCCAGGAGCTATTAAGTTTGATTAGGAAAAACCCGGAGGCAGAGGTGACGGTAAAAGGAAACCTCCTACGTAAAATCAGGGACATTGAAAACGACCAATACAGTGTTTGTGCCTACCGCCCCAATACAGGACCTAGAGGTTGAACCAGAGTTGTCATCTTGGAAACTTGAAACGGCCAGCAGGAGGGCTGAGCAAACATGGAATATCACCCAATACACAGCTAGATTGGGTTACAGACTAAGACAACGGCAGCAAGCACTCGCACCCACCTTGACCCAAAAATGGCAGAAGCACCTGCACATCCCCCTGGCTGCATTTCCCAGAATTCCTTGGCCCTTGGGACTCCTTTCTATCCATTAGAAATACCCGAATTAGAAGCTTGGAGAGGCTGATTATCCACCTTGCTCTGCCCGTTAACAGCTGGCCGAACAAGAGAAGGAGCAGGCAAAACAGAGACTACCTGAATGAGCTGTGCGCCCTCTGCAACCCGCCACAAGTGTGTGCACGACAAACAGATTTGGGAAAGACACCCGCATTGTGGGAAACAGTTACCGGTAAAGTCCTGCCCAATGACCACCTCACAAGATTGACGGGAATTATACTCCTGGAGGGCTGGGAAACATAGGAGCTCAAACTGTTCCAAAGATTCAGAGTGTCCTCCCTCTGGGGAGTATGGAAAAGAGGGTGTCAGGAGGCGATAGGGAAAATCAGTGCACCTGCCCCTCTGGCCTGGGCCAGTCTCATGCAAGATCTGGAAACGGAATATTACACAGACTTCGTTCAAATTAGAAGAGAGATAAAGATTAACCTGGAAAAACAGCCGGAGATCACAGAAAATTTTGTTACCATGACACTGGGCAATGGTAAAATAACCGAGATAAACAAACAATGCTTAAAATTAAACTAGGACACTTGCGTCAACACCACTATGGCACTATCCCCTTGCCACAGCAGCAAGGAGAATATTCGACTCACAGCATCCTCTGTTCAGAGGATGCCACCGGAGACCAGCCGTAAAAGCTTCCTGATCCAGAAACTGTACGAGGAAGGAGGGTGGACACTATTTTTTTCCGTTTCCCTCCTTTCGACATCCACCTTGAAGTCTGGAGAAGGTAAGAATGAACGGCCATTTTTCAGGTATCTGCGCTGGGAGGTCCTGCCAAACAGTTACACCAACTTGGGTGGGCGAGAGGTGGACTGCCGCCCTGCTGTGGGTATAATAGTTCATCCCCTGATTACAGTCATCAGTCTATCGGATGTTGGGCAAGGTTCCCAACAGCTGCTTTGTTGATTTAGGGGGACATTTCAGACTACCCCCATAGATTCAGGGCAATCAATTCCACAATATACTAATGATTGTCTAGGTTCATATGCATAGCTGCACTCTGCAATTTTCTTACAGCTTGGGCAGTCAACTCCCTGGGGTCTCGCAGAGCAACCGACGCTGGGAACAGCAAGTCGACATATCAACTTGTACCACTCAGGAACGCTGGACCCGTTTTCCAGCAGGTGATGCTCCCTATGTGAGGGTGTACCCCTCGGCATAAGGCCCTGCAGCAGGCGCGTGCCCGCCCTAGGTGAAGGCGGGCCCCCTGAATCTCTGTTACATGCTGCGCCTGCAACAGGCTGCACGGGCCATTTTCAGGCCCGTGTTGTTTTCAGCCTGAAAGCCTGAAAACAAGGGCCTACAGGCCCTGTGTTGTTTTCAGCCTAAAAGCCTGAAAACAAGGGCCTACAGGCCCTGTGTCGTTTTCAGCCTGAAAGCCTGAGAACAAGGGCCTACAGGCCCTGTGTCGTTTCAGCCTAAATCAGGGCCTTTCCGGCCCTGAGTCTTTTCAGCCTGAAACGGAGGGCCATTTTCAGGCCCTCATAAGATCGACCTGCCCTGAAACTCAGACACCAGACCAGGGTTTTAGCTCAGGCCATTTTTGGCCTATTTTCAAGACAACCTTTGTTTGAGCTTCAACACCAGGGTCTGGCACGTTTTGGCATTGGCAAGAGCAGCCTCCTGGACGGGCCAGCACTATATAAGACTGGCCCGCTCTGCAGGCTGCAGGTAGTGGCTAGGTAGTTCCTAGGTACTTCCCAGGCACTTCACGTGCAGTTCAGGAGGCAGGAGGTAGTCTTCAGGATTCGGCAGCAGCACTCCGGAGGAGCGCTGCAGTAGTAGTGGCAGCGTTAGCGGTAGTCTTCAGCGCTGGGCGCCATAGGAGCTAGAGTAGTACTAGAGAGAGAGAGATTGGGCGGAGGCCAGGGAGACTTACCTGCGGCGCCATTGCTCCAGCTTCGTCTTCGAGGTACCTGCAGCACAGCGCCATCTTCACAGGTTAGTACCTGGCACATGAGAGAGAGAGAGTTCTTCTTCTTCCTCTTCTCAGTCCACCATCTCCTTCTCACCCTCTCGCTATCTGACNGAGAGAGAGAGAGAGAGAGAGAGAGAGAGAGAGAGAGAGAGAGAGAGAGAGAGAGAGAGAGCTTGGTGACATTTGAATCCAGACTCGACATTGGATGTCAGACATTTTGAAGAGGGATTATTTGGGACTTGTAACGAGACTTGGTGTTGACGACTTTCCCATCTCCCCCTTCCTCCTCCTCGTCTGATCCCCTCCTCTTCGTCTGTGTATGTCTGGACCTGGCGCCTCCTTCCTGTGTATAGCACCAGGCCCCTTCACACCTTGTGATGAGCATGTTGTATGTTTGGTCTGCGTTGCAACATTGATTGGGCTAGTCATTGGTATTCTAGTATTCTGCTGCACTATCTTGCACTACGTGGTAGAGGTCAGTCCCGGTCAGGTCAGGACTTGTATCTAAGTCTTCCCTGCGCTATAAAGCACCATGTTTGTATGTATCAGAATGTACACTGCTTGTTGAGATTCTACTTGCACTGCATTGTCCATTCGGTCCTTTTCATCACATTGTGGATCCTCGGGTTTATATGTACATCGCCCAACTGGGCATGTAACAATCTCAATGTGCCCTGAAATCGTCAATTTTTGTGAATCTTGGTGGGTGTCAGACAGTTGCCACACACCAGTTGGTTACATCCGCTTTGCTCGTGAGAATCAGAAATATGCATGAGCCTTCCAGGCTCTTCTAGCAACGTGGTCGAAGCAGGGAGCACCGCACGTTTGTGCCTGGGTGGTTGGGCATGCCTAACCAATTCAGTCCCAGGCCACTGTCTGAATGGGCCTGGTCGCAGACACTTTGGCCGAGACTGAAGAGGAAAGCGCCCGCCACTTTCCATATAGGAAAGGGCCGGGCTCCGGGGAGGATAGTCGGGCACTACGTACTGCATGCGGCGGCGCTGCTTGAGCGTGCGCTCGCGAGCTGTGCGTCGTGTGCTAGCGCTAGATGCAAGACGGGCGCGCGCGGGCGTTGAAGAGAGGCAGGGCGCTGCTCGCTGCTGCGGCCAGTGCCATAGCCAGCCCGACCGTAGCTGGGCTCGGCTTGGACAGTCAGCGGGAGCTGGCGGGGTCTTTGTGTATGAGAGGGAAGACGTGGGTGAGAGAGAGAGAAAGATGAGGTTGATGATGTGAGGGCACGTACATGGTCTTGGCGATGGTCTACAAGGATCGACATCTTCATGTACTCCGGTTCTGCTGCTGACGTCAACTGGATGCATTGTCAATTCATAGGCTGCTAGTAAGCTGTGTGATAGTAGTCTGGGCGCTGAGCGCCAAGTAGGAGGAAGGACTCTGGATACATATGTTGGTGGTGGCCAGAGTATGCTCTCATTGACATTTGGATTCAGTGCTTTGGTTTTCCGTTGGTGGAATATCAGTGCATTTCTGCTTTCTGGACAGCGTTGGACTTGCTGGCTTTCGATGTGATTTTGCATTCTGGATTTCTGAGAAATCATTTCTGTCGTTTTGCTCTCTCTCATTTGCCTTGCACCTACGAATAGACAGGGGCCAAAAAAAAAAAAAGAGGCTCAGATGGACTGGGGGCTTAACAACATTGGAGTTGCTATCCAATACACTGGACTTTCTTTGCAATGCTTTCTGATTTATGAAATGCTGGGCCGATTTCCAGCATTGTCTTTTACCCTTATGAGGGATGAGCCCACCCATAGAAGCTAGAATTGTACACATGTACTTCGAAAAGAGACTCGCTCAACAAACTCTGCAAGAACCGTGAGATAATTTTTTCTCCTCCCTGATGTTCCACCTTCTCCCCTCCCCCTTCCACATCCCTTCTCAGCTTGTTTGAGAAACAAAAAGATGTTGATCACAGGCAAAAGAGAATCAAGAGTGCAAAGCGTAGGAGCAAGAACTGAGGATGGTTGGGAGCATGGGACACTGAAGCAGAACACTCACTCCAAGTTCAGCAGTGCAAACTGCAAGCCGGCCATCACTTCCCCAGACTTCAGTGTGACGTTCCATGCAGTTATCAAGAGTGCTGTTCAGAGCGAGGACTAGTGGGTAACTCATCACAATCCCCCCTCCGCCGAAAGCCATGTTGTGACTATGAGCCACATTTTGCATGTGTGTCTCTGAGATTCCCCCAAAGTACAGCTTCTGGGTGTGGTCATACCGGGCCAGGACTTCAACAAGTGCATCTTGGTTGAAGATTGTGTCATCATCACCCATAACAAACCTGCATCAGATGCATCCGCAAGCATGTAAATCTCTTTCAATACCACAAGCCATGAGTTCTCTTCTTGACAATGACCTTCACACTTCATCATCCAGGCATGGAGTACATCACATTTGGGATAGCGTACGCGCACCGATTTAGCGAGTACATCACCTAACTATCTGAAAATGACTATAATGCCTCCCCCAACATCTCCCACAACAGAAGCCAGTCAAAATATCTGCCCTCAGATTGGTGTTGGAACATGCACAATCATGCTGTGCCCACTTTGGTCACATACTGGCATTTCCAAACGGCCTTTGACCATGCTGGATCAGGCCCAAAGACAAAGCATGCATGCCAAGTCACAGGAAATAATGTGAACTCCTTTAAACCACCAGTGGCCCCCGTACCTAGTTTGGCAGTACTGCAGGCGCCATCAACCCTGGACTTCCCCTTTGGTTCAGGCCCACCGGGTTACAGCATGCAGACCATCGATATTCTGTCTTGATGGACTTTGTTTTGGAAGAAGAGACAGGATTTTCTGTCTTTTTCTTTTCGTAATATCTTTTCCCCACCACAGCAGCATCTACACCCCACCCGAGATCGTTCATCAAACGAAACAAGGACTAAACATCACCAAAATGGGGATGCTCAAATTTCATTTTTTAAGCAAAAGGGGAAGGAAAGGGAGGCCTACCAGCTCACAGCCTGCTAATCATTTTGGAGAAAAACTTCAAACAGGGATAGTCTCTGGCATACAGGCAGTGCATGCAGTGCGTGCCGATCCCGCACACGCGCCGCAACACGCGTAGCGCACACTGCGCAAGCACTGCATGCGGCGCACGCCGCGCACCCCAAAACCAAGGGGCCGCAAAAAAAGAAAACAAATTGCAGGGGGGTGTTTGAGGCCCAAGTACGATCTAGTGTCAAATGTGAAACAGGGCGTGAATTTTTTTTTTGGGCCAAAGGGTTATGGATTTCCTGATTTCAAGCACGCAGGTCAAATCAAAAGTTTTTTTTTTTTTTTTTTTTTTTTTACACAAAACACTCCCACCAGACTGAGTGCTAGTGGTGCTGGTAACGGCAGACACTGCTAGCACCTGGGGAGACGCTCCATCTATTAGTGGGGAGCATCACTTGCTGGAAAACGGGTCCAACGTTCCTTGTACAGAATGATTCAGAAAAAAATTCAGGTAACATAATTAAGGAAACAATCCCGGCGGAACAGGGGAGAGAGAATCAAACAATAGAAATTTGGGAACATCCAGAGGAAGATGAAGCAAGCTGCAACGAGGTGTTTGAAAAACACGTAGTTCTTTTCAACTTCCCACGGACATGTCTCCAAATGAAAAGTGTACCTGAGTAAGAGATGTCCTCCGGTCGTTGGAAGAAACAGCAGGCACAAAACTGGTAGTCACATACCATAAGTGGGCAAGAAACACAATTATGATCATGTGTCCGGATAGAGCGTACGCCAGGTACCTCATCTCCCTCAACAGCCTGAAATGCAAAAAGGGGGTTGTCACAGTCACCAGCTAGAAACCCCAAAGAGCTCCTCAGCCTGATGCATCGCGTCACAAACAAACGATGATGAGGAACAACTTTTGGATCCAACATCACCGAGGGATTGCACGATTTTGTAGAAAGAAGGCTGGCAGAGGCCTATCCGAATAACCCAGCCACATAATGGTTTGAATCTGGCCCGGACTTTTTGGCTCCCAATCACGACTCAAGAATAGCCTATCTGCAAGTTCCATCAGGTGTTCCACCACAATTCGCAGACTCAAGGGTCTTCATGAGAAACAGACAAAAGCTAACAGTTTTTACGTCCACCAGAACCAACCCTCGATGCTTCAAATGCAAGGGGAAAGGCCACCTGGGAACAGACAGGAATTGCCCCCTCAACAGGGCAAGAGGAGCCAAACCAGGCCAAATCCAAGCTAACCAGGTTGAATGTGACTCAAAAGCAGGCCTGTGGTTCGTCAACGATCCAGCCTACAGAGGTTGGGTGTTTGATGACACGATCGATGCTCCTAAATGGGTATGGACTCTGAAGGGTGAACCGGCTATCCAACCGGACATCTATCCCCCCTACGGAGGCCAGTGGGGGTCCAAAAGAATTGATGACAAGGACTGTGGATACTTGAAAAAACAAGTCCTAGACGCACAGGAGGTCATGGAGGATAAGCAAAGAAAGGACACATGGCAGGAGCTCATCAGAACAGGGATGTCAATAGAAACAAGGGTACCTGTTGCGGCTTCGCTTGCAAGGAAATGAGGGGAAAACGGGAGAAATGAGTCGGGGTGGGGGGATCGGGGGGTTGGGGGGTTGGGGTTAAGGGGGTGGGGGTCGGGGGTGTTTTGAGACTCACCTGTGTAGTGTTGTTGACTGTGTTG